GAGCAGCAGCAGCAGCAGCAGGAGATGAAATAGATGAGGATTTATATGAAAGCATAAAGGAGACAGTAAACTACTATCCCGGTATAGAGAGAAAAAGGAGACAGCAGGAGCTAGCTGCTGCTGCTGCTGTTTCCATTGAGGAGCTGCTGCTAGACAGAAGCTGCTGCAGCAGCACGAATGTTGCTGCTGTTATACGAGCAAAAGGGCAGCAGCAAGGGCTTGCTGCTGCTGTTGCAGCATATGAAGCAGCAGCAGCAGCAGGACTGTCTCCTTCTAGTGAGTGGTTTGTCTCCTTGCTGCTAGCAGCAGCAAAAGAGAGAAATGCAGCAGCAGCAAGAATAATATATCTAAAACTACGATCGTTGCTGCTGCAGCCTACAGCTCGTGTATATGCTGCTGCTGCTGCAGCGCATGCAGCAGCAGGAGATACAGCAGCAGCAGCAGCAATTTTATATAAACAAGAAAAAGAAGGTATAGAGCCTGATTGTATATTATATACTATACTTATAAACGCACTAATAAATAAAAAAAAATATAAACAAGCCGAAGATATATTTATTTATATTCGTGTATGGAGACAAATAAACCCTGATTCTGTTTTATTTACATGTATAATAAAACTTTATATAAAACAAAATAAAATAAATAAAGNATAAACCCTGATTCTGTTTTATTTACATGTATAATAAAACTTTATATAAAACAAAATAAAATAAATAAAGCATTTAATATATACGAAGATATGCAGGCCTCAAATATAAAACCAACAGATATAACATATTTATATCTACTGCATGCATGCACAAAACAAAAAAATAGATTGGGGCTGGCTTTCTCTTTATATAGACAAATGCAGGCAGAGGGGATGCCTATACACCCCAAAGTCTATCGTTATCTAATACAGGTATTTATATATATATATAAATATATAAATATATTAGTATATAAATATATAAATATATTAATATATAAATATATTAATATGTAAATATATAAATATATTAATATATAAATATATAAATATATAAATATATAAATATATTAATGTATAAATGTATCTATTGTATATATATATATATATATATATATATATATATGTATATGTGTGTATATATGTGTATATATGTATATACATATGTCTGGCTAGCTAGCTAGCTAGCTAGCTAGCTAGCTAGCTACATGGGGTGATATAAAGATAAAGCCTGGTTATATTCTCGGGTTTAGGGTTTAGGGTTTAGGGTTTCGTGTTTCGTGTTTCACGTCTCGTGTTTCATGTTTCGTGTTTCGTGT